AAAAACCCCCCCCCCCCCCCCCCCACTTTATCATATTCCCATAAACCTTGGCGGTGTATTAGTCAAATTCTGAACAACCCTTCAAATGTAATGACCACATACGTGATTATTCTTTTGCCATATCATTTTCTCTGTCCATACATACAAATTTGTATGTATATATATGTTTTTTTGTGTCTGTTTGTATTTTTTACTGTGGTCCATGGAGCATCTAAAGTATCTCTCTCATATCGGTATTTGTATAAATATCAATCATTCATTTCATTCTTACCTTTAACTCCATTTCAGGTCCAGTGCATTGATGGCTACATTTTCTATATATAGCGATAGACGTGAAAAGTGAGTCAAAATATGAAGGATTACCTTACACACTAAGCATCTTTTTACTGCCATTTACTGAATTCTATGAAGGGTTTATCTCATTTTTCTTCACTCACCAAATGGCGCCCACAAAGATTTCATTTTTTCTCTTGGAGTTGTACAAGTAACCATTCTTTGCTTTTACAGGACCTTTCGATCTTTTTCACTTGTCCTATTCTTGTTTGATTGGGATTTATATCAGTAAGTGGGGTTTATTTCAAATTTTCAATTCTTTACTACATGAAAGATTCGTTTCAGGGTAAAACTTGAAGCAAAAAGAGCCTTCTTTCTTGATATTTGATTCAGAAAATGAGGTCTTTAGTGTTTCTAAAGGTGTTGATAGTTTTATTACAGTTAAATGGATGTTCTTTAGGTAAGGAGTGTACTAATATTCCAACTAGTTTGTCTTCACACACTGTAAGATATGAATTGTTGTCATCTGGTAATGAAACATGGAAAAGGGAGATGTTTTCGCATTACCATTTAACTCCAACAGACGATTCTGCCTGGTCGAATTTGCTTCCGGGGAAGCGATTGGAGGAGGAGGAGGAATACAATTGGGCAATGATGTATAGGAAAATTAAGAATACTGGTGGAGTTGTAGGTTTGCTTAAAGAAGTTTCATTGAATGATGTGAGGTTGGATCCCAATTCAATGTACGGACGGGCTCAGCAAACTAATTTAGAATATTTGCTGATGTTGGACGTTGATAGTCTCGTTTGGAGCTTTAGGAAGACGGCCGGTTTGGAGACTCGTGGCAAGCCTTATGGTGGATGGGAGGATCCAAAAACGGAGCTTCGCGGCCATTTTGTAGGTTGGTTTGTATGAAATCCTCTGCCTATTTATACTACGGTTCCTTGCCTTTTATTTCGATAAATGTTGTGCACAAAGAGACTAGAACTTCTTATTTTATGAAGTGGCCCGATTAAATTATTGCATTCATGTGTTGAATTTTGAGTAGTCAACGAAGTTTTGAAGAAATATAACTGCCTCATTACTCTGAATTAGAATTGATATGCTCCTGTTATTCCCTGGATTTATATCCTTTAGCCTGACTTATGGATTCTTTCCTGATTTACTTAACTTTTTCCTTATTCAGATTGGACTTATTGTGTTCTACCTATTGAACTGAACTTCTAAAAGGGTTAAACTGTGCGGAGCCTAATGGTACTTGCATTAGTTCCTTATTATATAAAGGATTTCTTGGACGGCCATTTTTTGGTGCAAGGAGAACTTGTATTTCTTCTTCTTTATCTTAGTGAAACCAGTTTCTGCGTGGGGAAATAACTCTCACATCGAGACTGAACCACTATGATTTGTTTATAGTTTGCTTGTTCTCTAATTGTAATATTTATTATTGATTCTATGCTGAGTGTATAATTTGTAAATTATATACAATTTAATTTGGCAAATGAAATTTCTTTGTGTTGATTTTATGTGCATCATGTTACTGAATTGGCTTTATATATTGAAGGGCATTACATGAGTGCTTCAGCACATATGTGGACTAGCACTCATAATGACAGCCTCAAACAGAAGATGACTGCTGTAGTTTCTGCTCTTTCTTCTTGTCAAGAGAAAATGGGAACAGGGTATCTTTCTGCTTTCCCTTCCGAGCAATTCGACCGGTTTGAAGCTATAAAACCTGTTTGGGCACCGTATTATACAATTCACAAGGTACGCAATGTTTTATTATTCTCTTCTTAGTCCTAATCCATGATTGTTATGTTGATTGTTGAGGGCATGTTTTTGTTATGGAAGATCACAAAGTATAGCTATAAGATAGTATAAATAAAGAAAATAAGCTAAAATCTTGCTAATTATACTGTTTATTCCTGTCCAATACAGATTACTGATATGCACGGAATGTTTATGCTTACTCTTTCAAGCTTTGACAGATATTGGCAGGTCTGTTGGATCAGTATACTTTAGCTGGTAATGCTCAAGCTTTAAAAATGATGACATGGATGGTTGATTACTTCTACAACCGTGTCCGGAATGTGATATCAAAATACACACTTGAAAGACACTGGTTATCACTAAACGAAGAAACTGGAGGCATGAACGACGTCCTTTACAAATTGTACAACATAACGGTGCGCCATAATGATATATAGAAATGCCTCAAATTTTCGAATCAGTTCTATTGAAATTTTTCATTCATTTGAGATTTTTGTTGCATAATTTTCTCTTTTTTCTATGTGTGTTTCAAAATATGAATATTCAGTTGCTGTAATTCAACTTATGTTGTGATCGAATTTATGTAATTTGAGCTGATGTTTGGTCTTATCCTTCTTTGCAGGGGGATCAGAAGCACTTGTTGTTGGCTCATCTTTTTGATAAACCGTGCTTTCTAGGATTGCTAGCTGTGAAGGTAGACTCTGTATTTCTTTTCACATTGAGTTTTATGGCAAGAAGATCCTAAACTTCCTCTTCACAATTGCATGCCAAACATTCCCTTAACGTTTAACTCTATTAGCTACTTATATTCTCATTTGTAGGCTGATGATATATCTGGATTTCATGCTAACACTCACATTCCAGTTGTTATTGGATCTCAAATGCGGTATGAAGTTACTGG